CTTTTCACGAGCTTTGGTTAGGCGTCGAAGTATTACTGAAGCTAATATTTCAAACACTATATTAGTCAAACTGATTCCTCTGTGATTGTCACAAGAGGACTTTTGTCCTTTCTTATAGACACAATCAGTGATTGAGACCAGTCAGATGGGATTACGTCCAGTTCCCAAATTCTACCTAAGACCTAAGTTAATCTCACTGCTAATACTGGACCACCATCCTTAAAAATCTCAGGAGTAAATCTGTCAGGACCTGCTGCTCTCCCTCGTTTCAGGTTTCTCATGGCTTTTTCAACTTCGTAAAGGGACGGAGGACCTACATTAACTTGCCACTCAGGTTGACTAGAGATCGTGGGAAACTGAAGTGTAGCTGAAGGCCAGTTGAACTGATGCCTGAAGTGTTCTGCCCATCGATCCAATCTCATGGATTGAGAGTGTATAATATATCCATCTTTCTCTGAGATTGTTTCGATAACAGTCGTTTCCTAATACCGGTTTCCTTAACAAGTTTGAACAATTGTCTGCTATTACCTATTGCTACTGCCTTTTCCATCTCTCTTGCTTTTGCTACCCACCACTGTTCACGATCATTGCGTAGACTTCTTGTCAGCTTGCGCTTAAGCTGACTCCGCTCTTCATTATGTTCAGAGCCAGGTGGAATGAGTTTCCGAGCATCCATCAGTGCGATAGATGCTGCTGAGATCCAGTGTTGCTCCCTAACCTTGTGGTTTACCACAACTTTACGGATATCATTCCATGCTGCCTCGGGGTGGGCATCACATACATGGCTGCCTAACTGTTTTCCTAGTTGTTCCTGTTGGGATATTCAGGAAAATATCCCAGAATTTATCCTATTAAGTCTAATGCTATTCTTGGACTTGAACATGGTATGATTTTCTTATTGGTCAGTACTTATTTCACGTGTTATTTTCCTACTGGTCATTATTGTACAATGCTATTTTCTATTTTATGGTACGTTGTGATCTGATTGACTGGTGTATAAACAAAGTATGTTTGAAATATAATGATTCATACATCCGAGGCTGTGACTTGCGTTCTGAACTCAACTGCTGGGCTAGACAGGGAAGCGAGGCCAATCAGAACCCTAGGCCGTTCTACGTGTTTGCGCGTCTTTGGTCCGATCGATAATTCGCTACCCTCAAATCTGCTGCCGTTCAGTTATAACAGTTCCTGAAATATACTCTTAGCTTGACTATCATTAAGTAGGCCCCTAAGAGGTTTACTTGCAGCGTCTTTCCTACGTCCAGTAAGACCCAGACGGATATGCGCTCGCAATAGAGCATGATCTGAATCTAAGCATGTGCTCCAGAATGGGCGACAGTCTTCTATCGAGCCCCTCCATCGGTGGCTGATAGCGATGTGATCTAAGTGGGTCCAACGTTGGAACGAATTAGGGGGTCTCCATGTTAAAAGATGTGTTTCCTTATGCTTAAAGTTAGTATTTGCAAGAAACAGGCGATTATCTGAGCAAAGCTGCAACAGACGGTCGCCATTATCTGTTCTTTGAGCCACGACACCATAAGATCCACCCAGGTGTCTTTCTCTATCGCTTGGTTTAACTACTTGAGCATTAAAGTCATCGGTCACTATTACTACATCCGAGCGCCTAGCTTTTCGGAGAAGGTCGGAAAGCTTTCTGTAAAACTCATCTTTTACATCATCTGTGCTGCAGTCAGTGGGAGAATAGGCGGAGACGACAAAGAGGCAACGACGAGTGTCCCTATCTTTTCGGATCCTTACTGTTCCGTTTAGTCGGACAGCGCACAAACGGCTGTCTACTGGGATCCACTCTAGGAGACCTAGTTCTGCCCTAGGTCTCAATGCTATGCCTACGCCGGCGAGGCCACGGGAAGCAGAATCAGGGCTTCCAGATACACGAAGTGTGAATCGAGTCAGTTCTTTATTTTGGCATGGTGAGGTCAAGTGAATGACGCTACTTGGATCCTGTATGCGCGTTTCGGAGACGCAGCACACATCGATGGCTCGGGATTCTAAAGTCCCAGCTAAGGAAGCCTGCTGTCCTATTCGGCACAGTGTTCGGACGTTAAAAGTTCCTACGTGTAGTTTATATCGTAGTTTCAGGAGACCAGGAATAGCGTTCCGCGTACTCGGATTGTTCGCCCTAGCGGTGCGAGGTGATAAAGGGATGTGAGAAGGATTAGTCGTGGAGATACGAGTGGTATTAGGAGGTGTAGGAAGGATTTGAATGTGACCAACTTGGTCTCGTGTGCTGTTACGGGTATGAGGGCTGATGTCACTTCCCGGCTGCCCACATTGTGGAAGGTTATTTCTTGAGGAACCTGAAAAAGAAGTCGGATTAGTACTGGTCTTAACGACCTGGGAGCATGACCGCAGAGCCTAAGGAACAACTGCTTGAGGCCGGTCGCGCACGGCCCTTTTGTGGGAGGTTTTTGACGAGTGCCAAGTAGCACGAAACCCGGGTCCAGGGTTTCCTGTTGACTATCTCCAAACACCATCTAAATCTTAGTGAAATTCCACTCTGGAATATTGTAGTGTACATATTCAGGACCCGTGTTTCCTGAGACATCTTGCACAATGGTATTTTTTCCGCGAGTGAACGTTTCTCGAGATTCACTATGGGATTTTCTATTGAGATTGAGCTCAGAACACAGTATATTATGTAGTATTCTTACGTCCTCTTGTGAGTTCAGCAAGCGACTGGTCAGCAGAACATCGTTTACATCAGCAGTGTTGGTGAAGGATATACGAATGAGTTTTGAATGATTTTGGTGTTCGAAATCCTTCCCATGGGTAAGCCGTGTAACCACCAGTGGCTTATTTTGGGTGATGTCCTCTTGTTCCGAAAGGGAATTTTCTCATAGTCCGTAAATATTTAACTACTGTATTTTTTTCATGTACTACGCTCACATGAAATTTTCTGAATGACCAGATTGTTCGGTTCTCAGCCAATAAAGCTACATCCTCTGTTTGTTAGGGCTATATTTATTCTTTAAAAAAAATAAAAGATCTCAGTTTTTCGGAAAATTATTTAATTTACGTTTTTAGGTTTTGGTCCTACTATCTTTTGTCAAACAGCTCTTTTAGCTGTATAGCCTGGTGATGTTGTTTATCTAAATAATCAATATAGTTTATAATCGCAGTGTTGATGATCAAGGCCATACCCTTTCGAAACATTGTGTTTTTTGAATTATCTGTAGGAAAGGACGGGTGTTTGCGAGAAAGCTAGAAACTATACAGAATTTAATATAATAGCGATTTCTTCTTGTTTATTAAAGTCCTGGAGTAAAACGAGTAACAGAAGGTCAAGATATGGTACGATCATGAAGTATATTTTATACTGGCCAGTAGGATACGAGTTTAAGTGAAGCAAAGTAAAATGTTCTTAACGTTTCATGGCAGATTCAAACAGTAACATCGTGCAATATTTATTATGTTAAGCAATGCATGAAATGGTGCTACTATACTACATAGTTTTCTTTATTTTAAGGCCTTGTTTCTTATCATATCTGTTCATCTTTCTCTAAACTCACAAGTTGAATTCCGTGTGATAAATGTTGGTCCTAGCAACCTTTTATGGCCTACAACAAATTCACTAATAAATACGCAAGAAATGCTTTCTTGGAATAAAATGCCATATTCACTAATCTTAATGCATGTAAGTGATAAGTCTAATGGAGGAGATACCAAGGAATAAAGACTATGCTTTAATATTGTTATTAATACTCACAAACTTGATCATGCACAAGCGTAGGGCCAGCGAAATGTCCCTAAGCCTTAACCAAATTAGTTGGGTCGTTGAATATCGAGCAAATTACCAGTGTAGATCGCCAACGTAGATGATCTATGTCGAAATGATTGAAGGCCTACTCGAGTTAGACGTGAATGATGTGACACCTCATGGTCAGCACCTTACGTGGACTACCCCATCGACGTATCAATGTACCATAGATGCTTTGAAGACTGTACAACACCGAGGACGTTATTACAGAAATATATTAGCTAAAGTAAGACCACTGCCACATGGGCCAGTCCATGGTATACGATTAACTGATGCGCGTTGGTTGTCCCTGACCTTGACTAGGATCGATGATTTGCTCGATATTCAGTGACCCAACTGCTGGATGATTTGGCTAGGGCTTAGTGACATTTTACTGGTCCTACACAAGTATTGTGAAAAAATCATTTTGGTGTTCATCACAAACGCAACTATCCACGAGAGTTTTATTAATGTTTACAACTACTATTCCCCGTCCGACTCCACTAGACCCCGACCATCAGTATAAGACATTTAAACTGGTAACTTATAGAATGCCAATTCGAGATGCTTATTAGGGTAGCTGACAAGAGTTCAGTTCGTTCACTTATTAAATATCTTCCTGCGGCGTTTCTGAGCAATAATCTAGGCGAATAGTCCCACTCAATGGAAGGCGGTCTATAAAGGGTGTTGCAGACTTATTACACTCTTCAGTCGAAGGTCAATGGAACAAAAAGCGGAACGACGTAGACAGTGTTTTTAATTTAAACCATAAAAGTTAAGGATGCATCAAGTAATTACGAGTATAATTTAGTCAAAACTAGTACAAATAAATGAGACTTTGAGCGCAAATACAATCACACATACGATGTCTTACAGAAGGTGGATATATGATATTTATTTTAGCCACAAAAATGATTAAATCGATATGCTATTAGACATCTCTCTTCATTAACGGACTAATTGACATCAGCTTCCGAAAGCATCTATTAACTAGAAAAATAAATTTCGACTGAGTTAATAACTGTTTGCTAGTGTGAATGGTACATTTTTGTGCACAAAGATCCTTTGTTAAATAGCTTCGATTACTAAAGAATGATTTTATAAGTTGCGTAGATTTTCATTCCGCCTATTACGAAGAAAATAAGAAAAACAATGTTTTTCTATCAATTTGATATAATTTTTTAGATGAGAAAAAGGTTTTTCGAAATAGGTTGCAATACTCATTATTCCATCGATATGTATTGTTGCGCGTATTATGGTATTAGCGCTGCACCCAATAAATTAATGTCGGCGCGACTCCACCTTGCTTAGGATTTCTAGTTCATTTCCTCAACCTTCTAATGGCTCTTTCAGGGTCGAAGGAGTTCGTCGATATGCTGCTAGCTCGTGAATTTACAAGGTACTTAGTTTCCTATCTTAATATGGAGTGACAGTGCTGATGATCAGGTACTTATTATGAATGGTTGTGATGTTAGTGGACATAGTTTTAAAGAAAATGGTTTCGCAAAACCCGTTTTGGTACGATCAAAAGACGGTCTAAGAATTAAGGTCCCGCTAGACTCATTCTCTCATACAGATTTAACCAGGTTTATAGGTACTGGAAGTCCATAAAAGTTATCGGTTTTAGATCCTAGTATTCAGGTTGATGTCATCGATGTTCGTCAGCAAGTCGAGATACAAATGACGCTCCAAGAACTGGTTGACCACTTTTCATCACCTCGTCGACAGGTATTGTTAAACATGCTGAGTCTGGAGTTTTCAAGAACCAGGTAACATATGTTGTCTTCACATTAAAAGTAGCCTGGCAGAGTTTGTACATCCTCCGCATGTCGTTTCGGAACTTAGTCTTGTCACGACCTGTTGGCCGGAAGATGACCCTAACGACCTTAAAGATGTTGAATTTATCGGCGAGACTGCACCAACTGTCCAGAAATACTGTCTTTTAAGTATGAAAGGCAGTTATACTGACTTCCATATAGATTTCGGTGGATCATCTGTTTGGTACCATGTTATGTGGGTAGGTTTTTCTATTCGGAGTGAGGTCTATGAGCATAGGGTGAAAAAGTGTTTTACTTGATGCCGCCTACACCCGAGTTCGTTTCTGCTTATTGGCGATGGTGTATGAGCAGCGATCATAGGGCGACGTTCTTTCCAGACTTTGTTGCTAGTCTTCGGGAGAAAGGTAAGTATTCGTCTGTGCATTGTGGAACATAGCTCCGAATTACTTTTCTAGAATCGACTAGTAACGTAAATAGACCCACAGTTTACTGCCTTCACATTTTACCCGGTCAAACAATCTTCTTGCCATCTGGTTGGATCCACGCTGTTTACACGCCTTCTGACTGTCTAGTTTTTGGAGGAAATTTCCTGAGTGGATTGCATGTATCTATGCAGCTCAGGTAGGTTACTGAAATATATTTAAATGATCTCATTACTTGCTTCATATTTTAACTGTGATTAATTATTGTTTCATAAAAGTTTAAATGGTTATATTTTAGGACGTTAACTACTCACTTCGGTATTAAAATAATAAAATGGGGTTTAGTGACATAATTCTGAACTTGTTATTGGTCAGCACTGATTATTGTACGATCCCAATGCTGGATATCCATGCCGATATATTGTCTGGGATTCTGCGCAAAAAATTAGGATTATACGTGCTAGACAGTTGTCCCACCTCATGTGACATTGTCTAATGTATGGTTCTGTTAAGATTTTATTTTAAAAGATAACGAGTTTATAAAGTCAATTAGTTAACATTTTCTGGGGATTTATAAACTTCGTGAGTTATGGAAAATTTTGACTTGATTTTACATGCTATTCATGAAATAAGTACACATTTGACTACTGTGATCTAAATCACGGTGTCAGCAATATATTTCGCAGCTCTCCGTATCGATGCAATGTAGCCGAGGTCAGGTCTCAGTAAAAATCCAGAATTATTTTTGTTTTTTGACAGAGATTAACTCGATTTAAGTCCAATATAAATGTAATCCCTGTGTTCGACTTTCCTTTAAATGATTGGTTTACTAATCTTTGAAATATATCACAGCTACCCAATGTCTCAACTCTCCATATATGTGGATATACAGAGTTAGGTTTAACAAGAACAACACTATTTTGTCTTGCCGATTTAGTAAGGTAAGGTAAGGTTAGTTTTCAGTTTATCCAACTTCATAACAATATCCTAGTTTCTTGTATGCAATGAATATTAACCAACCATAGTGAAAAACCGTTTTGTCCTGTGGCTAGATTTTATACTGTTCAAAAACTGTTAGTGACAAGAGGTGAGTAACAGCAATCATCCCGACTTTTCGACGAATTGCTTAATCATTTTGCTGCTCTGCCCAACTCGTGGTCACATCATATTATGTTTTGATTCTTAGTAAGTTTGGTCGATTTTAGCAAGGTTTGTTCGTCATATTTGAGTTCCAACTACTTTGTAGGAGATCTGAACGAAATGTCAATCAAAGCATTTTCTTCAAGCGCTTATTGAATTGTCTAGGCAAATATCATACTAAAAACCGTTGCGTGATATTCATCTTTAAGATGAACACCTAGTCATTTTGTTGCTTCACTGAAAACATAAATCTGTATTTACGGGTTGAGATTTTATGTGGTACATTTAGTTGTAGACAGTCACTGACAGCCGATGACATAGTTCTATTTAGTGATGACGCTGACAAAATACAATCTTCTGACCACTCTAAAGAACAAAGCAGGCATGTTCGGAATGCGATTCTCCCCCTCGAAATCCAAAATGTTGCCTCAGGATTGGGTTGCTTCGACACCCGAACTAATGGTAGGGAGTAAAGTAGTTGAGCGTGCCGACCGATTCACTCATGTTGGGAGTCTCATCAGACCTTGTAGTCTGGTGTGTGACGAAATCTCAGCACGGACACAGAAGGCTCGACTAGCTTTTGCCAACTTGCGTCATTTATGGCGTAGGTGAGATATCCGTCTATCAACCAAAGGATGGGTTTACTGCACAGCAGTTCGTTCCGTCCTACTTTATGACAGTGAAACGTGGCCGATAAGAGTAGAGGATATTCGCAGGTTACTAGTATTCGATCATAGGTGTCTTCGAAACATTGCTCGTATATCCTGGGACCATCGAGTAAGTAACGCAGTTGTTAGGAAACGGGTACTAGATAATGATGGCAGATCAATTGATGAGATAGTGGAACTTCATCAGTTGAGATGGCTGGGACACGCGTTACGTATGCCCAACCACCGAATGCCTCGACATGCAATGTTCAGTGGTATAGGAGTATGTTGGAAGGAAGGTAGGGGCGGCCAGACCAAAACATGGCACAAGTGTATACAGTCACTGGCAAGTGGACTGAGCCATGTTGGTAGGTATAGACTACCTGGTTGGGATCCGCGAGACGATAGCAACCGGTAAGTAGAGACCTTGAATGACATGGCTCAAAATCGTTTGCAATGACGCAGGTGCGTCCACTCTTTGTTTTCTCCCAAATTCTAATCTTCTGAACTCTTCATGTCCCTTTTTCCTCTTTCCAAATTCATTTCACTGGACTATACTCTTTGAATAACATCTTCAAACCCTAATTTTCTCGATTACTGCTTATACTTTTACTACCTTGATCACTACGGGATTTGAATTGACAATTGTATTTCTGTGCTAATGTGGTATGGCAACTCGAACTGATGTACGTACGTACGAAGTTCTACGTTGTTGCCTGATTTAGACAGCCACTGTATTCTGCGGGTTAAGCCATGGAAATTGTCTTAACTACATGACGTATAGATTGTGGTAACAATTAATTTACAGCCAACCATTTATTTATTTTATTTTTTATTTCAACACATAGATAATGGTACAAAGAGGCACCAAATACATATGCGCCACACAAATCTCATCCGATATGTGTGAGGGCTGTGATACTGCCCGGGTGCCCAAACCGAAGCAGGTGGTTTTCTTAGGAGGCCACACCCCGAGCCTTCGACCCAAAGGTCTGATCCACAAGCCAGTGGAGCGTCGTAAGGAGATGCAGTCCCATGGAAGCCGGTGACCAACAGTTGGTTCATTCGCCATTTGTTCCCGCAGGATACTGGAGCCCATGTGCACCATTGGTTTGGAATCCGGTTAAAGCGCCGGACATTCGCTTTTCGTCCTCTCATTTTCGTAAACAACACCCCCGCCACGAGAAGGCAGTGAGTAGGACTTCCCTGGCAGAGGCTATATACGCGTGGCCGTGTGAGAGTATTTCGAGAGGGAGAACGGACTCTCCCCACTCTCGGCCGTACCAGGGCATGCTAGAGTTTGTCTAGCAGAGCCTACTGTTTCATTTGATCTAAGTTGTAAGCATTAAAAGTCAAACAGCTTTTGAAACACTTGTGATGAGTCAAGAAAACTAGTTGGAAATCAAAATTATTGGAACTGGGATATGTTGGTTGAAGCGAACAGTTATTGAGAATTGGAAAGAAAGTCTGAAGGACGAAGATAGATTACGAGAGGCCCATTATTTACACTCAGTTCTAATATTATTTGGTTACTAAATAACCTTTTATTCTAATTCCTTAATTTAGTTTGTGTTGTTATTACTGTAGAATTTATCGCATGGAACAAAAATGTAAAACTCCAATGAAATTTCTGTTCCCTAATTTTGAGAAGGTTCACTGGTTTTATAGCCAATGTCTCCTGGACAGACTAACTAGTAAGTATCTCAGTCAATATATTTCAGCGATATAATTTATTAGATTATTGTGCCACATATTTCATTCTCTCCAACAACACGAATTTTTAAAAATTTTCACTATTATTGTAGACAACTTAACTGATGGCGAAAATCCCGTTATTTTCGACGTAGAGGCGGCTGAATGCTTGGCTAAAGTTCTTCCTTTGTGGTATTCTAAAAGACATATGGTAACTGAATGTTTTATAACAAACTACATTCCTCATTTTAGATGATGTTACTGCTCTTTTTTATTTATTCTCCATAGATTTTGGATTGCTAAATATTACCGAATGATCATCATGAAAGGTTTGAAATCTTAATTATGATAGAAAGTCTAAGTTTTTCACCATTTATAAAACTCGATGTATAGTTGTGTAATGCGGTGTAATTTCTAACCTGTGTTCCCATAATCAATGTAGGATTTCATTCGGAAGTTAATTGGGTATTTGGAAAATCCAATTAGGTCTTCAAAATTGATAATGGAAAAATATAATCGCACAGTTTTTGAACGATCTCAACAACTCTGAAAGCGGACCATTTATGGGACAGGAGTAGTGCGTCGCACTTGTGATTCAGATGTTCAGATTCGAATTCCTATATTATTGGGTCATATTTATACCAATAATGTCTTATGATGTAAATTCCATTGGAACTCGCTTAGAAACAACTTTCCACCGTATATCGTTGAGTCTGTTTATATTTGCTGAATGCCTCATTCCAAGTTATTAATCTCAAGTATTTCTTCAATCATCTGGCTTCACCATTCATAAGTTTTGTAATTCTTAGTAGTGTCTAATAAATTACGGAGTTTACGTCTATTTATATACGTAAGTGCTCAGCTGCACGTACCTGCGCTTTACGGAATCTCATCTAAGATCTCTCGTTTCTAGGTTACACTACTAGTTGTTAGTAAATAATAGAAAAATTTTATCAAGGAAAATATATAAACATCTGTGCAGCTAGTTGATTTGCTAATGTTCTAATCAACGCATATCAACCAATAGTAGGAAATTTGTTGTGACTTTACGGCCTGCTTGTTATCACGTAATCTATTCGCCAATAAAAATACGACTTATTTGCTCTTATACTGTACTAAACCAATGACGTCCGACCGGTATGATCAGCCTGGCGTCCTATTGGCCCGTTGCCCGTCCAGCTGAGTCCAGAATGCCAATAACAGCTTCAACTATGCGAATCACTTATTTCACACATACTAGGTTTATATATCAATCAAAATATAGCCAAAGGTGGCTGTGAGCGTGGGAGACAGTAGTTAATAAACTGAGTATAACATAAGAACAGTAAATTGTACGATAATAATCTATAAGTCGAAATGAAGCTTATAATAACGGGAATATAGATACATACAATCTAGTTACTGAATAGTTATACCATAAGAATATATAAATAATATTAGTCCATTAATAGGTCTCAGAAGTTACTCGTAATTTAATCCTCACTAGGATATAACAAAATTCTTAGGTATTATATTCTACCCTCGTGTCTTCTCTAACTTCTTGGAGATATAATCAGGGTTTTCTTAATAAATAGTTATCTGCAATCTTTTAAACTTAATTTATTTTAGTTATGTGACAATTTTCCCTTCCGTTGAAAGAGTTATCCCTTAAGAGGTCTAAACAACTTTCCATTTAAATGGTAGTAAGTGTCGAATTTTGATACTGCTTTTGAAATCATATTGTCTCACCCGAAAAACTGTGGTCTTCACAAATAAATATTTATTGACATGGTTATGGACTGTTAAATACAAAGTTGTAAATACAACTGTTGACACTTGCTATGATAAAACTATTTTGTGTCAAAACTGCAGATTTGTAATTATCGTTTTTTCTTCTTCAAGAAATCGCCAGTTTAAGCACCAACTATTGTATAAAATTAGGACATTCAATTTTTCAGTCGTATGAGTGACTGCATACTTCATTGTTGGTGTTCATAGGTTAACCATGACTTATGATTGGGAAGTTTAAATGGATCCATTATCTACTTTTGTGGATCTCGGACTTATCAATACCCCATAGTTTTTCTTCTACTTCATTGTTTTTAACGATGTTTTGTGTATTTTTTACCCTATTATTTCCCTTACTGTGTTCTGCCGTGAATTGTAGCAGTTTAAAAAGTGCACAAATTTATTGTCCAGGTGATTTATCATATTTGTTTGGAGTAGTATGGTGATAGTATATAAGTGTTGGTTCTTGCACTTGTACGTGTTTTCCTGACTTTTCTTTAGTTTACCATTTTCATTGAGAATCATCTTATCTTCCCGGTTTCCATTTACTTTAAGCTCCCACCAAAAGAAAGAGATTACTTTCTTCCGAATCAAAGTCAGTTAGACATGTTATGTCCAAGTCTCATTGAAAGACTGTCTGAGGTCGTAAATTCAATATTATCACATTCAACGAAAAACTCAGGTTTTTTATCAGATTATTCCAAATCAGATATATTTTCAAAGCATTCCAAGTGAGTTGTTATTCCTTAGTTTCTGCTTCACAAATTTCCACCACTTTTTCATTAAAATAATTGGGTGGACATGTAAAATCTCTCTAATTTCATTGGCTTCTCTGTGTGATGATTACATTGTTTACCGGTAAGCCTCAAAATCTCACAACTCCAGCTTTCGGTTTGAATTAAAAATTTAGATGACAGTAGTAGTTCAGGGTTACAAAAATTAATCATTACAAATCACATAATTTAAAAAGTCAAGAACCATCATTCGTTTTTTATTTTCATCCTAGAATGTACTACTTTCTAATACAGGTAGTATGAAAATAATAAACCCAACAAAGTGATTTGATTTATATTCTTTATAGTCCACTGAAATCAATTACATACTTCATAGTAGATTTACTTCAGATAATTGATATTATCCCTCAATACCGCATTTAAGATTCACCATATAATCTGCGATTCAAACAGAAATCTCACTATTAACATAAATTTTTCATAGCAATTTTCCTCTTCTAAATAATTGGATGAGTTTCTGTCAGGCTGATACTCCCTAACTTTATCATATTTGTAAATTTGAATATATATATATATATAACTTCTCTCCCATGTTTTCGGTTATAGATCTAATGGACGAGCAATTGAAAGCTGCTCAAATGCTAAAAGTATAGAATGTTTGAACCGTGAGCTAGGTAAGGAAACTAACTGGGAACTTAAAGATAGACATATTGGAGGTCTAGGCTGGATGCCAAATAGACAAACTTATTCCAAAAATTTACGTGAACCAAAGAGCTTGATAAAAGAAAATGAGAACGAAAAACATGTAATTACTGATGATGTAGATATCCTTGAAGCACTACCGGGTTTGGAAAAAAGTCGATTAATCGGAGACCATTGTATGTATGAATGATTATTTATGTATGCTTAATATTATTCTTCCTTTCATTGTATAACTGATATTAACTGATTAATTTTCAGCTACATATTATTTATATTAGTAAAAAGACAACCAATGGATTAGAGATTCCAAATTTCTTCTATAGATTGCATTGGTTATGTCCTATCACCAGTTTTATCGTCTTTGATATAATGATTATCCTCGGAATTTTACCTGGTTTTCAGTTAGTCATAATTAATGTAGAGCCCACCACAAACGTGCATTACCCTAATTTGTCATCCCACAGTACAACGAGGAAAATTTCACAAGATATGTAGCAAGGAGACTAAATAATGTAGTGGAAATGATGAGATATACTAAATAGTGAAGATGGTTCTAAAAGACAGCATGGTATGTCTGGATGAGTACTAGAACTCAACACCTGGATGAAGATAAAAAATGGATCCATCTACCTCACTGGGATCAATTCTGAACCATGTCACTCAATGTCTTCTACTACGGATCGTAGTTATCACTCTGACAACAGCCAGGCAGTCTAGACCTACCAATACTGCTTAGACCAATAATCAATGACTTCATGAACTGATGTCAAGTCTTAGTTTGGTCTCTCCCAGCTGTCCTCCAACCTAATTCTACACCAGCTATTGGCGTTCAACGAGACAGGTGAAGTTTAGGATACTGCTACGTTTGGAGAGATTACAATATCGCCTAAAACAGGCGAACGGAACGAAAGTCAGCAATACTTCAACAGGACAAGCTATGTTATTCCACTGTACCCTCATCCTACTAACTACAGATGGAAGACCAGATTCAGTCGAATGAAATGCATATTACCCGGGCAGTCGGAAGCACGAGCGAACAAACACTCAACTCATGCACATATATACAGTACAAAAGTATTCTTGGAAAACGTCACAAAACAGCTTACTAAAAGAGGAAACGAACCATTTAAGGTCCTTCCATGTGGGAAATGCTGAAGAGGAAATTAGGAAGACACGTTGGGGGTGGTTAGGACATACCTTGCAGAAATCATTAATTGCATCACGAGGCAAGCCCTAACTCCGAATCCTGAAGGGAAACGGAAAAGAGGGAGACCGAAGAACACACTACGTTGGGAATCGAAAGCACGCATGAAAAGGATGAATAGCGACTGGAAAGGATTGTCCAGGACAGAGTTGGATGGAGAGTGCTGGTGGGCGGCCTATGCTCCTCCACGAGGGGCAACACTTGCAAGTGATGTGGAAAATACAGGTAAAGTAGGTGGTTTTGGCGCGAAAATGAGAAATTCAAATTTCCAAAATGAAATTAAAAAATGAGACGTTTACCAAATGGTTCCTGGAGATCTAGCTTCCCCAACTGATACGTATTACTTTTCTCAATCACTTCAGTTGATAAAGATTTATTAACTCATCAGCCGGTTTAGCATCTTTACCCACTACTCTTTGTTTAATTTCAACATCTTCCACTAGATTGTCCCAGCACACACAAGCGCTACTTCGAAGACAGCCATCACCAAATACTTTCAGCATACGGACATCTCATGCTTTCATAGGCTACGTTTCAAAGTCAGAATAGGAGAGATCAAACTGATGCGGAGCATATTCGTTTTTTTAGTTGGGAGACGGACACCTCACCTAAATGACAAGTGACTCAAGTTGGAAAATGTTAGCCGGGCTTTCTGAATCCGTTCCGGGATTTCGTCAGGTGCTAACTCACTTGAGCTGATCAGACTTCCAAGAAAGGTGGAGTGGTCAGCGCACTCAACTACTTAACTTCTTATGACCAATCTAGACAATGGGGGAGAGAAATGCATCCCTAATATACGTGGTTTGTTATTGAAGGTGATAAGAAAAGTTCTAATTTCTTCAACATTTTCACTAAACAGGGCCATATCATCTGTACACGCCATGTTATTAAGTTGGTTTCCAGGAAGCATACCAATTCCTAAAAAGTCAAATGAAGAAAGAGCGATTATTAATGAAGACATTTGTGATGAAACCAAATAAAAAGTAGGGTAGTAAACAACCTTAACAAATACTGATAATTGTTATTCATAAGCTCTAGGATTATCATTAATGTTCAGGTAGAGAGCCTTCACAAAGTTAATGTACTTCGCTAGTGTACCTCTCAATGGCAAACATTGCCACAAAGTTTCTTAGTTAACTGGGTCGAATGGGACCTTAGTGTTAAAATTAAACATAAAGAGGGATAATGGGTAACACTGACGAACTTATTTCCATCATTGTGTTTATTCTGTGATGAAAAGGTAAAGAATACTAGATAACTAAATAGATAATTAAAATTATCTATATTCTACTTTCGTTATCTTATTTTTAAACATCTTGGGTCGAGAAAAGGTGAAAATAAAAACGTAAACCTATATAACTAATATTGTCGACAAAATGTGAAGGTGGTTGTCATATTTCAAACGTTCCTAAACTGAAAGAAAACATGATTTCAACCTTGTACATAAAGTCTTGTTGCTGCTGAATTGTCCCCCAGGTACTGTTTCAGACCTTCTGTCTTAAATCAGGAAGATCAAGTCATATGGGTATCGTTTAATCACTTATAAATTTGTAGGCTATGATGAAACTATAATTCCCGGGTTTCAGTATTTAACATTTCAATATTGTATTACAATGATAAATTCCTTATCGACTTACATTTGACCTGTCAAGTTGTATCTCCATTTATTATTCACAAAATATGGTATTGTAGTGAACGAGAACACAAATGAGGACAATCGAATGTATTTGAACATAAAATTACAGAACATCTTAGTAAAATCTGAGAACCATACAGTAAATACTTAATTTGCAAAATATCAGTCAATCGTTTCACACTTCATTGTTCTTTCGTTTCCACACTAATCATTCTTTGTTCTCGTTCTGTTTTCTTTGATCTTCTTAACCTTCTGCCGCCAAACATATTACTTTCAATTGGTAATACGTACTACTTATATCTATCGACATCAGTAGCACACCACAGTATATCTGTTTATTCATTTACTAAAGTGTTTGTAATTATTAAGTTGAACTGAAGGTTATACAAAATATGTTTTACATGTAAGAGAAGGTTTTGTTGTCAGTTTCTTATTAGATGTTACTTATCATAATTCCTAATTATGGTGTTGATATAATTTACCACATATTACATGTATGGAAACATTTTATCGGTAATTTAGATCATTCAAATATAAATTAAGGAACAAGACGGATCAAACACTCTTTGATCTATTTATAAAACTATTTGACCTTAACTACTCTTTGTGCTAATAAAAACTAAATTCATGAGAGATATTCGGTGTATCTGTTGTTTAAATTAGCAAGAGTGAGATTAAAGTATCTTCATAATCTGTTTTATGAGTTCAAGTGTAACGTTCACACTACAAATAGTGATGCCTTCTCATTTTATTTTCTTCGGAGTGAGATGGATAAAAGGTGAATGTTTATAACGGACAATTAAATTGATTGTAGTAGATATTCAGCCTTTCGCTCTATTTTCTGGTGATTTTATGAATGATTGAGACTTGTAATAACATCATGTTTGTAATTCGGAACTAATCTTTCTATGTAACTTTGAGTGAAATGATATTTTCTTCACCGTCTACTCATAATAATATTTTCTAAATAGATTATTTGACATTCAGTGATTCAGAAAGTGATGATGGCGATAACGTTAGGATGAAATCAAAAGCCGAATGTTCGCTAACAAAGAAACAGAAGGGGATATCTACTCTATACCAAGCAAGTAGGAAGAGAAAAACTAAGAATGATGATGATGATCCAACTTGGAGTATGCCTAGTAGGTTGAATATTTGTTTTTGCTATTTAAAAAAATTTCACTGGGTAATTTATTCGCCTCCGTGTGAACATTTGTCAGTATTTGAGCAAATAGTTTGACAAAAATTGGGCTCCAAGTGTATAGAGGACATTCTATGTTAAAAAAAATGTATTAAAATGATCTCATCGATTGAAATTTAAACAATTCGACTATTTTAATTAAAGAAGTTCAAATCAGAGTACCAGATGGAGCGTTAGAGTGATCTAAATTTCGATTGCTGAGATCATTCAAATATAATTGTTTCATTTAACGCTATTCGCCTTTAGTTTGAAATTGCGCAGTATTACTTATCTTCGACTTTCAAAAATCTGTCTTCATTTCCTGATGCGGACGTTCTACCATTGATCACTGGCTGTCATTCAAACAATATAAATGTTACAGATTGAAATTCTTGATACAATTGAGATTGTTTAGTTCCATTATTTCTAGGGATTAACATAACATTCAAGTAATTTTTACTTCATACTAATTGTGATTATTTATGAGCATTCGTTTTTGATCCTAGACACTTTTTAGTCATACAAGCCATAATTTTTCGCAAGAACTTTGTGTATTTTCTCTGCGGAACGAGTTGTTTTCATATACAGAAAATATTTCTGTAAGTTCAATTATATTCGAGTAGGTTGGTTGGTATTTTTCCTGAAATCTGCCACAACTCATGCATTCACTAGTTGATTTTGACGTAATCGATATACCATGCAATTGTTTCGCTTTACAAATGTAAACAGCAAATTACGTCGTTCTCGCTTTGTTGAAGTAATTAATATAAGATATTTTCCCAGTAAAAATCAAATACAAGGAAACATGTATCAATCCAAAAAAATTCGTTCATAATCCATAAGTTCTTATCATTTCACTCTTATCTGTATATATAGCTTTAGCAGTTAAGGCGCATTGTTGATGAATTTTAACCGTTATAGTAAAGGAATTTATCAGTCTAGAAAACTAGATCATTAATATGTTAACTTGTATTTATAATTAATTCATACTTGGCTACTCTCATCAACACCTACTAATAAGGTTAATAAATTTTAATTAGTATAAGTTTCCATCACTATTATAATTCTTTCCGAAACAAAAAAATCAGAAAAGGTTAAAAACTTAATTGTTCACTTGAATAGTATTAGAAGGTTATCTATTCGTAAAAAATAGGGGAGTGATTACCAGTGAATCACTCCTTCTGATCCTAAAGTGTGTCAGTTAACGTACCTGACCATCAGTTTATACTTGCCTATGTATATTGTTTTAGTTTGGGCATTTCCATGCAGTGTTGACTAGATTTACAGTCCAAACCTTTTCACTGATTTAGCAATCTGCCCGGTCTACTATTTCAGTTGATAGAATTCATCAGGTTTTTTAATTGTCAGATTTTTGTAAATATATCCCAATATACTCAGTTGTCATTTACTTACATCCTCCAATTGAACATTGAAATTACTGTTAGCTTAAATAAGAACTTTCGTCTAAATTTAAACGAATAGTTTCACAATATTTGGGCGCCGAGTTCATTTGAGACATTAAAAGAAGATAATTTTGTTGTTTGATTATATTTTCCTTGAAAAAGCTTGGACCAGATTGCCAGGCGAAACGTTGGATTTACTTAAAATTCATTCGCTGAGATTTTACAAATATATTCTTTTTACTGTTAGCTTAGTTCCATTAGTTTTTGAAAGTATTATGAAGTAAGCTCAAGAGGTTTAAGTGTTCTCAGAAGATGTTATGGTTTATATTACCAAAAAGCTGTGAGTTACTGTATCTCAATAGCTAAGTGCATCTACGATCACCAGGATATACGTTGTTGTTTTTCTTCCTGTTACATTTAAAGATTTTCTGTAATGTATTTATGCATATATATATAGTATGACACCTGGTTGTGGTACAAGTTAATCGGGCTTTAATATAATCTCATTCGACCTACAGGCCTTAAAGTAAGAATCTTTCCATAAAGCTAACAGTATTCAGTATTACTTTCACATAGGTGTAGAAATAAATTCTCATCTATCTACCTTTATCATGTAAGTACTTAGTCAGTCTTCAAGCACAATGGAAACGGAAATGTAATTATGAGCACATATTCTATTAATCTTACTCTTATTTTTAATAGTCTTTTAAATTGTAAAAAATGTCTTGTCTATTCTGAAAATAATGTTTCTAGTTTAACATCAGCAACTGGTTGTACATTCATCTTTTTCTACATTATTTTACTTTACAGGTCCTACGCGTCGCAGGTTTGGTACAACTGAATTGAAGTCAAAGAGTTCAAGACTTCTTGTTTCTAATTTAAAAAGAGATAAAAAGTCTTTGGTAAATGCTTCTAGTGTTTAACTAATATAATTTTTGACTATTCAACGCGATTTCCTATCCACAAATGATACTGTTGGGACATATTTAAGCCAGTCTAGATCATATAATAATTAATTTGTTAGTAAATATCCAAGTTCTATTTCCTGTTGTTATCTTTGTTTGGTTTTATAAACACTAAGTATGACAAGAGCAATATAAGCTGTAAATTTATTAAACTAGTCAAGGTATTGAGGTTATCTAACACTCGACCCACTTAACTAGTATTTTTGGTTTGATGAACGTGACAACTTGAAGTAACCCATTCAGAGTTCTTTATTCTTTCCAATTCCTTTTCACCCTTTTTTAGAACGTGATGAGTCAACGATTACAACTGACCACATTCAGGCGGTTACTCCGTGCTATGTTGTTGAGATGTAGCTTATTCACTGTTGATGTTCTTTCAATATTCTTCTTCACTTGTGTTAGCCTTTGTTTTTGAGAACTTATCACTAAATCCTCTATTGTCGCGGCTACTATCAAACCGCTTATTTTAATAAGTTTAACTAGTTAAGAACCGTCTATTACAGTTTCTTATGCATTAGAGTGGCTACACAATTCACATGAACAATCACAAGGCTCAGGGACTCACAAGGAAACCCCTGTTATGTTCTCAAGAAACCCCTCAACTCAGTCCCCAACAAATAAAAAATAGAGAACGAATTTTTCCACAACCTCTACAGACGATAACAGTAAAAAAATACGTTGAGACCTATAGAGAAATCAGAAGTGTACCTGAGAACTATTCAATGAGAGCACGGGCTGAAAAACGCCAGCTTCAATTCAATAGTACACATGCGCCCTAGGATCCTAAAGAAGCAAATCGCTTATGAGCCTGCTTTTTCTTTTCACTACCATGATACTACATATCCCTTCATTGCTCTATCTTTTTTATGGGTTAGACCTTTACGTTAAAAGGTTTAGAGAATAGTCGTATCTCATAATCAGTATCATAGTCTGCATAACATTAGGAATAAAAAATATCTTGGTCAAAAAGTGTTGAACAAGAAAGAACAACTAAACTATTCTGTAGAATATATTCTTGTATTTTTAATCCGAAGTCTCGTGTGAATTTCCAATGGTATCTGAATTAACACAGTACGTCTGATCAATAACACTTAATTTCTCAAGTTACTTATCTTCACTGTGGTTAATCGTAGCATGATATGGTTATATACATTAATGTTTATTATTTACTAAGTTAAAGGTTGTATGGATTATCGACTAATAAATTATTTCAATAGTTGAGATCATGAGTTAATTGAAGCTAGACCACCAAGGTAAACCTGAAAGCACTGGCCGACCGTTTCGTCCTATTGTGGGACTCCTCAGTAGTGCGTATCTGTGATCCCGCCTTGCGAGATTCGAACCCAGGCGCGGTCGTGGATACGCACTGCTAAAAAGTCTCACAATAGGACGAAACGGTCGGCCAGTGCTTTTAGGTTTACCTTGGTGGTCTAGCTTCAATTAACTCATGATCTCAACTATTAAAATTACCATAATATCCACAAAAACCTCTTCTGATATCAATAAATTATTCCTTAAAATGTTTTTATTCGTTTGAGTATTTATAAAATTTTATTTATTAAAACAATGCAGTAGTGCAAACTGTCTCCGTATGCATGGAATGCATAACGTTTTGTTATGAAACACTTCACTTTTCATTTATTTTCTACAGCACCCTCTACTCAATGAAGTGAATCCATCATCATCAGGCTCGAGTGCTTTAAAACCCAGAGGTTAGTAGTCTGTGAATTTTCACTTCTTCCTCTCGGTAGTTATTAGTTCATTTCCTGGTTAAACTAATTTGATTTAACCAGATTCATAATGTTAACAAACATTGTAGTGTACAAATATGTTATTGTTAACTGAATTGTAGCAGGACTAATAACAACCCAGTATGATTTTATTTATTTAGTTTACTTGACAGTAAATCTGTCTATTTTTCTGCTCTTTGAACAAAGATTATTGTCAGCATAGTTATGGGTACATAAATAAAGCAGTACAATATTTATTACATAGTTTTGAATAGTATTTTTTAGAATCATACGAGTTGCAATCATAGTAACAAATTTTTACATTGTTGTTGTCAGTTGGGAACCTTTGTTCTGTCTGAAATAAAAACGGGACATTTTTCTAAAAGAGAAACTAAGAACGCTTTATACTGACATATAGCTACCTTTAAAGATCCTAGTGTTACAGATGTCATGGATTTCATTGGATATATATATATATATATATATATATATATATATATATATATATACCTCTGTTACTATTGTGCTGTAAATTGAAACAATTAGTTTGATTGATTTTTAATTACCACTGAGTCATGAATGCGTCCGTTTAGTCGTCGTTCTTTTTGTGTCTTCGTTTTAAGAGATGGCAACAAGAATATATTGTTTTGTTTATTTACCCCTTTTTTCATATTTATTTGTCCTGATTTTTTTGTTGCTTTCCTTTCCTTCTCCCCTCTTTTATCCCAACAGATTCTTCAACATTGCGTCCGCATATGACAGTAAAAGCACAAAAACCACGAACTAAACGCAATACAACAGTTAGACAACGTCTTGCTAAACGTTTAGGTATTTAATTCATTTTAGCAAAGCATGGATGTTATTTATTTACATATTGTCTATTTGTATGCTTATCTATTACAAGTTTACTAATATTATTCAATACTATCAGTGTTAACTCTGATTTTATACTTTTTTCTACCTACATATATAAAGTGAATTATTTGGACCGTATAGATTTGTAAAATTTATTTCCTCTCTACTAACGATATCTATATATATGTATACATATACACACTCAAGTTAGCAATTCTTATCCGAATGTAGTATAATATGGTCGTGATCTAAGGAATTTTTCAAATAACTTCAGTTTTATTATTGTTATTACTAACTGTAGTAGCGGTATTACTATTAACAAGTGCAGCATACTTATCATGCATACAATGACCTTTTTTAACCATATTTCAAATAGTTCTTCTGAGTTATTTTTTATTCTTATTTGTTCACTAATAATGCCATTCAATTTGTGTCCCATACTTCTATGTCCTTATTTTAGTTATATTTTAAATTTGAGAAATGTAAACTTCAATTGCATTTATGTATAATCATGCTGATTATGAAATAGTTAAATAACTGACTGTTTCCCTCTAACTTCATCCATTTCTTCGTGTAATTTCATTTATTCCACTTCATCATTATTCGCATATCTCATCCTCATTTTCTCTAGATCTCCAGGACCATTCATGGAATATGTTCTGAAAAGTAATATATATATTAGCATCATTCGGCTACTCAGTAATAGTAAGAATCTGTTTTATTAGGTATATTCTCTTGTTTTTTAGCGGTTTTCTTGGTTACTTGTTCACTGATATGTGTGTGTATTTTGTAATACTACGTTATTTATTCACTTTGTTATCGTTTTTTGTTACTATTATTGGTTTTTTTTACTTTACGTACATGTTTTATAAATATTTGTTTATTTGCATACAAATGGAACTAATAATGCTTTCCCTGTTTTCATTCATTGTTTACCTAGCTCATTCTTTTTGAAATGTTTATTGGTCTTTGTTAAAAAAGTTTTTTTATCATTAGGTTTTATGCAAATTGTTTTTGATTGAAATAAATATTGTTATAATAATATATTATATACATGACCGTCTTTCGTGTTTTCGGCGGTCGGTTGGGTAAAGTGGTCTACCCATTATTAATCGCTGACACTAGTATTAAAACTTGGAACGTTATTATGGTAATACACATTACGTAATACACCTAGAAAAAAGGCTCGGTAACAAGAGGTTGTTTTGATTAGTATTCATGCAACGGTGTTTGTGCTGATTAGCTATTTTCGTGGGAATGTTAAGAATTATATACCAGACTTGAATCCCAGAGAGAACACCTAGTTTGTTATGTGATGCAATGTTGTTTCTTAAGTACTCATTAGTAGGGTTCTTCAGTTTGACATTCTTTGGATGAAGATATTTGTGTCCGTATTTCACCATTCTCAGTGACATTCAGGCTAAGTATCTGCTGGTGAAATTACCATAGAAGCCGTATTTCAAAATTTCAGCGTGAATAAGGCTCCCTCGGTAGATTTCAAGGGGATATAAACAATTTATAAATAGGTAAAAATCTGTACGAATTCAAGTTGTCTCTTTTCAGATCTACCGATCGGGAGAAAAAGGTCAAATTGGAAATTTAATATTAACTGTATTGGCATTTATATCAATAGGATTCAAGATTGTAAGGTAATAAAGACTTAGAGAAAGATACGGAGTGATTTGGTACTCATCACTGTGACTTGTTTGCAACCATATCAACTTAAGTCCCTAGTTATTGATTATATTGACATATCTCAACTCAATAATGATTCCTATGAAAACCAATTTGAAGTCTGACCAGTATAATATATTAATAAATTATCTAAGAGTTTCAGTTTATCCGTTATAGTAGAGGAATATGTGTGTTTGGTTGTCTGAATTAATATGAGGTGGTCAAGCGGTGTTTAATCAGGGAAACAAAATTAAGTTCTATGTAGTCACCCAAATTGATTGGTTAGAAAATGTTTTACCAGTCTATAAATCATCCCATTCTTAGAATAGAGTACAAAATAAATGAGGATTGAAATAATGCGTTTGATATGCAGAACCAGTCAGAAGTAGCTCAGTGTGAAGGTCAGTCGGTGGCAATCACAAGTGACCCAAAGGACAAGTGCGTTTTATTGGCTAGGATATGGGTCAATTTCCTCATTCAAATAGTCAGTTGGGGAGAGGGTTTAATGCGTAGCACACCATGTATCAGATTTTGGACACCGCCCATCACAACAGCATTGCCTATCGGGACACCAGCTTATTTGAAATTCACTGAACATTCAACGGATATAAGACTTAGAATTCTTGACGAGAGGTGTTCATCGATTTCAGGATCCAAACACTGGTCACCAATGTGATACAGTTGTCGCACGACGTTGTAGATTAATAGCAGTTGGTATAGTGCCACTGGAGACCGACCTAGTGTTTATTATTAGTTAAGGGTTCATCGTGAGAACTAAATTTTTTGGTTCGATCGTTGGTGGGATTACGTGGTACTCACTGCTGGAAAGTCTCGCACAAGGGCGAAGTGATTGTCCAGTGATACATGGATTTTAATGGTACTTCAAATCAAACTAATTTGCAGTAAACAGAACCTATAAGTTAAACCACGCTGTAACCCCTTTTAACTAGCCTTTGATTGTGCTAGTTACTTGTTTCTTATGACATTGATGGACGAGAAAACTCAAACTTTCTTGATTCTTCTCCTGGTTTCCAGGGTACTAAAAGAGACATATTTTTATTCGATGTAACCTACAAATTAGGTATTCGTTCATTTACGAATGGTTCAGTAGTATATCACTAGCAGTGATCAATCGATAAATTTTCATGTATGGACTTACATAATGGTACCCCTTTGGCCTCATTCCAGCGGTTAGTGATTATTTGACAGTTCTAAATTTTGCGGACCATTCTGTTTTATTCTCCTCGAACTAAGGTTGGCATTTGAGATGGACCACTGATATAATGACATTTGTTTATCTGGTTTAATGCAAATGTAATGTATGTTTCAGTGTCTTATATACTTCTGTTATGGCCTGTCAATATATCACGTGACTAAATGGCCAATTAGAAACACCGGCTTATATGACCAGGCCAATGACGCATAAAGTAGTGCGAGGAGCTTAGAATCAACTCTGAGATATTAGCTTCTCGCCTAACCCAGTCGGTCCAGTCCAGAACACCAATATCACCCTTTGCTATATGAATCATGTATTTCAGACACACTTGGTTTATGTTTACATACAAACAAACCAGACTGCATCATACCATAAAATAGAAAATAATAATTATACAAGATCACGCCAAAAGTGGCTGTGAGTGTGATATATTGTAATTAATAAATTGGGAATAGCGTAAGATTAGTAAATCGTGTATTGGTGTGGTATGTGTTACTGATGTCGATAGATATAAGTAGTACGTATTATCAGTAGAAAGTAATACGTCTGGCGACAGAAGGTTAAGAAGATCAAAGAAAACAGAACGAGAACAAAGAATGATTAGTGTGGAAACGAAAGAACAATGAAGTGTGAAACGATTGACTGATATTTTGCAAATTAAGTATTTACTGTATGGTTCTCAGATTTTACTAAGATGTTCTGTAATTTTATGTTCAAATACATTCGATTGTCCTCATTTGTGTTCTCGTTCACTACAATAGTAGTCAATAGGTCAAATGGAAGCTTATAATAAAAGGAATATTAGTATACAGATAATATAGTTACCTTATAGTTATCCAATAAGAATATATGTAATAATAGTCCATAAATAAATTCCCGCAGTTACCACTCATTTATACTCCGTTAGGATTTAAGGATTTCGCTCATATCTAAAAGCTGGACTTCCTTTTTTCGTTAAGGATCTCTAGAAATCAACAAAAATTTGAAATTCTTTTGCATTTTAAGTAAAGATTCCGAGGGATCGAGTAGACTTACTTTATTGCATTACCAACTAAACTAATTGTAGAAATCTTACATTGTGTTGAATATAGCGACCATTCTTGATAAGGTACACTACTATTTTATGTACTTAATTTTAATTGAAAATGAAGTCAAACAGAACATACCATTAACAAAATAGTTACCTTTGATAAATTTTCCTTATTACTGTGAAACTGATCAGTAATTTACTGTAATTAGTTCATCATTAACGGTGTATCATTCATGTCCCAAGTAAGTATAATAGCCGGTTGATTGTGGAAAACTACTTTATTAGGAGATGTAGCTTTAATAAAATAGTCTGCTTTCTCACTGGTTAACAGTAAAATAGGTGGTTTCATTTTTTTTGTCAAAATAATTTTGTGCTGACTCTTACCACTTGCATTATTTATATAACTGATAACATACCATATTAACTTGTACACATTTATATAGAGATATTTTTCTTAACGTGTTTTTTATACAAAATCTGTGGATAAGTAATATCAAGATCAGACAAGAAGTCGATAAAAGGAACAGCAAATTGTACTTAAGTATTTTATTAAACATATTGACAATATATATTACCTAGTACTTGCAATTGTATAGATACATCAATTTGTTTTTGAAATGATGATAATATAATTACGAATAAGATCTCGAACTTGTCTTTCGTTTTCATCTAAGAACTATCAGTTTAGTTTTTCTACATTCCATCATGTTAGTGTTTTCACTGCTATTGAGACTTTGTTAATATAGTGCTTTATGACGTGAATTTGTTTATCATTTAAAGATTGAATAAATTAGTATCTGATGAAATGTATATTCTTACTTCTGCATATAGTTTTATTCCTGTTGATCAGTTCAATCATGAAAATATAAGCAAGGTGAAACTACAGAATTCATAAAGTACTATCAGGTTTTCATTCTTTTTAGCTGCCTTTATACATATTATAACATTTAACATAATCATAACGGTCAAACATTAGTTTAACGACTCGTTTTATGCTTTTATTCTTTAATCTGACTTATTTCATAAGGTCAACCAACTTAACATAATTACAACAAAAACATCATGTTTCAATTGTTGAAATCGTGAGTCAATCGAAGCTAGACCACCATGGAACATCATGTGTCAAAAAAATGTTTGTCTGATAATTTATGAATTATTTTCAGATGTTTATTATCGTGTGAATTTTCACCGGTCACCTATAAATCATTATTCATATTAGTTACATTTACACTATATTATAGTTTTATTTAATTTTTTTTTAAAACAAAAAGTATAATTAATATTTGAACGAAGAACATTCTATTCAATAGGTTCGGCACTATTATTTCTCTCATCCTATCTGACCCATATTTATTCGGATCATGAATCTTAAATTTTCACTTAACACATATATACAGATTCAAGTCAACATTCTATATGAGTCATATAAACAACATGAACAATTTTATTCTATTTTATTTGACAATCCTAAATTCACATGCTTTAACTTTAAACGATGAAATTTGCCCTAAATATGACCGTTTTTGGATTATCAATTTGGATATATGAATTATAGAACCTGAAAAGAATTTATCGAAAAGAATATTCTTCGTTCATATATTACTACTCTTTTCATATGATGGAGATCTTTAAACAATTAAAAGTATGATTATTTTGTTTGAACAAATGTAAATTAACTGATAATTAGTATAATCGAATCACTGGAATTTTCATCATTTAAACACAGATATATTATAGATAATATAAATCTGTCAGTAGATGTATTTGCTCTCTCTCTCTCTCTCTCTCTCTCTCTCTCTCTCTATATATATATATATATATATATATATATATATATATATATATATATATATATATATATATATATATATATATATATATATATATATAGGTCCACAATATCTTTTTTTAACATACTTTTAGGTGTAAATCTTCATTTACAAATAATCGATATCTTGTTGTAATCAGATATGAATAAAAAATGATCGTTTAATTTGCATTACATATGAATAACTATGCAGTATTTATTTGTCACATATTTTGCAATCACTAATTTTCATTCGTAAGAATGTTAAATGAAAATTTGAAAAAAAAAAGGAAAAGAAAATTATTTTACCGATTCTAGTATCAGATTTTATTGTAAACGAAAATAAATTTATGGAAAAACTTCAGAAACTTACAATGGTCAAACTTGATAAGACTTAAACTAAATAAGATTCTACTAATTTGTAATTAATGCAGAATATATAAAAATGAATTTAATTCCCAATTGTAAATGGTTTGTCGTAATGAATGAATTTTTAATAAAATTAAACTATAAACAATTTATCAACATCTAATTAAAGTACTTAGTTAGGCTAAAGGGCGGCCTGCTTGAGCATCAAGGTTACCTGTTCCTGCCATCTAGATATTTCAACAAGTTATCTACTTTTGTTTGTTTTAATATATCATTATGTTTATTAATCGCATAACCTATTCTGCTGCGTTTCTGAAAAGTGTACAACCTTTCGTTGTCAAAGTTACAAAAAACTCAATAAGAGACAATGTGATTGCTGGCAATATACAACGAAAAGAATGTACATTATTTAGATGTTCATTTAGTGAACTACTAACATCTAACTGGCGATCACTCAATATTTATCGCTAGGACCGACCAAGAAGAAAGAAACGGAAACTTGTTGAAATACTTTGCGCTGAGAATTTTATATTGTACCAAAAATATAATATTGAATAAAGCTGATAATAATAATAACAATAATAATAAGATATGTCTTACTGAAAATAGATCCTAAATTAAGCTACTGGTTCATTTGTCAGAAATATGTATTTTGATATTGCGAACGCTCATCTACTGAATTATAATACTGTAAATAATTATATTTAACGTTTTAATACACAAAGATTCATGAGAAAATTATTTATCTTCTAGAATAATTTCTCTTTATTCCATGACAATAAGCATCATTATGGTAGTTTAATTTAAAATTATTTATTATACCGGTAGACACTGTAATTATTTTTTACCTAATGTCAGTGATGAGTATTTTAATTTTTTTGTTACATTTAAAACCAGTGATTAACAAATTCTAAGATTTTTATTTGTTCCGATTATGATATTTTGGTTAAAGTCATATATAAAGAATCATGATTTGGAAATAAAATTTTTTGTTTGTTTTTTCGGATTTAAAACCTTACCACTTTTCGAGATAAAATGATGATAGAATACCTTGTAATGTTTGTTGGTTTCCCCCTTAATTTGATGGATAAGTGAGTAATCTTGATCTATACTAGTAAGTATTTCGATTCATATTATTTCATTTACTTACGTGTAAATTAAATAAGTCCATCAAGAGAAATATTATAATAGTATGAAATGGATTTCATATGATCTTACAAATTTATCGCATATTATTACATTTAGTTACATTATTTAGTCATCTATACTATTGTATTTTTATATAACTACACCTTCCATTTCAAGCATGTGTTAAGGCTTCAAATAATGTATGATTATGTGATAATAAATTTGTGTGATAAAAAATTATTTACATGCACTTTAGTTCCCATAAGATTAGTATCATCAATTTCAAAATGAAAAGCAAAATGACCTTTAGATCTATGAACAAATCAAATATATATAGTAGTCTCTTTTCGTTTATTTACCATTAGATTGTGTGCTTTATCATTATAAAACAGAAAGTAACCAAAAATCATTGATCAGTTTCATAAAATCAGTTCTGACTCATGATCGAAATTTTTTAGATACATAGATGAACATTTTTGTGGTAATTTGATATCGATGTTTTGCACCTCTGAATTATTTCACTGACCTAAATGATAATAACCGTATTATAGTTTGTGAGCCTCAACCAATGGGAAGAGAGATTTTGCCTAGTTGACCAATCCAAAGTACGGGTATTTAAGCACCTTCAAATGTTAGCACAAAACGTAATCGAATCCTCATTAGGAAAGTTAATTTGTGGTTATTACATAAGTTTCAGATTATCTAATTGATTATAAAGACAAATGAAATGAATCTAGATAATCGGATTTTTAACAGTTCACAAATAATTATTAATGACAACCTTGAATACAAACCAACCTTACAAAATAATCTTGAGCTGAAAGTTACTTCTCAGTCTCAAATGACATTAAATACGTCACTCTATATCAGTGTAAATGAAAACATAACAGATATGCCAATGAACTTTAATTTAAACCAGATTGAGTGTATTTGTCAAGTACTCTATGATAACCAGGAAACTGATCGGTTGAAGACATTTCTGTCGGAAATATCAAGGACAACAATGTATCATAACAATGAAGTCATTGTGAAATGCAGAGCACTAGTTTTATTTGTCAATAAAGAATTTACTGAATTATTCAAAATTTTAAATAATTTTCCATTTAGTGTTTATAATCATAATGAAATGCAAAATTTATGGTATCAAGCTCAATATGCACAAATAGAGATATCACGTGGTCATCAATTGAACGCTGTAGCCAAATATCGTATACGTAAGAAATTTCCACCGCCGAACACGATATGGGATGGAGATGAAGTGACGTATTATTTTAAAGATAAATCAAGAAATTATTTAGCTGAACAGTTTGCGCACAATCCGTATCCGTCTATTGTGGAAAAACATTTCATGGCTAAGAACAGTGGTCTTACTATAACACAAGTATCAAATTGGTTTAAGAATAGAAGACAACGTGATAAAACTCTTAATAACTTTAAAAGTAGATGGTAAGTACAGTTTTTTTCTTTAAATTCCAGCTTAAGGGATAAATTTGTTCTTATTACCCCATGATAATGTTACTAACAGGAAAATTGGGCTTTATGATAGGCGTATTATCCCAGTTTTTGTCTCCCCAAAGAAGTTATCGCTTTCATCTATATTAAACTTGATTCCATAGTATCAGGGCTCACTTAATTGATGAAGAGATCAATTACAAAATACTGTTTAATATTTATGGACTCCAGTAGGCTTGTGATAATTTGATTATCCTTTAAACAGTAACTATCAGTCGTCAGTTAGTTAACTCCATATGCCAATAGAATAACAACCCATTAGTTCTAGTCCTTCTGATTTAAGAATGATGCAATTTGTAAAATTGTGGGAACTGTATTTTAAACGTTGGAGTTAAGTGTGCCTAGTATAGATGATTTTCAAATGAATACAAAACACTATCTGTGACTTTTGGTTCAGAAGGCTAAATGAATCTCCAACTCAGACAACAGTCTTCGAGAGAAGAAAGATTTATATTAAAGTGCCTATAAATAATCTTGCCTGCAGGGTAAATCCATTCTTTTTTAACATGAATGATGTGCTCAATTTTTGGTAGTTTAAACTGAAATTTTTAAGTAGATTTAATACGTCATAGTAATGATGTACATAATTTCATCTTAGATTAACCGATACAACCGCTGCATTAGTGTATTATCGATATTAAACTGGAAAAAATTCTTTAGAGTTTTTATTGAAACTAGATGGTGTTTTATTGCATTTACAAAATTCACTTCTGTTACATTTATCATCTGCTTATTTTGTTAAATATTGGAAATGTTAGGCTATTACTGTTAACTTATCTGTACAAGTTAAATTGTGATAAATATATAAATCACTTTACAGATCCGTAAACGTCATCAGTTAAATGGAGAGTAGAACTAAAATTATCATTTAAAACACAAATTCGTTTGAGCTACTACCTTTTTTCTGCTGATATATTATGACAAGCATAATATAACTGAGAATAGTCTTATCGTTAATTTAAAGCTGAAAAATGTTTCTCAGTGTATATAGACTTAACTAATCACCAATGACAAAACAATGAAATTCTAGTACTCACTCATGGAATGATCTGAAGGTACTCTAAGTTGACTTTGGTATCTGAGTGATACGATCTGACCATAAATTATTAAGAAATTTGAAAACAACATAGCAAATAATCTTCAGCATCCTGACGTAAATGTCATTTTTCGGCATCAAATTGTTCTTCTAAATCACTGTTGAACAGTTTCACAACTTATTTGGTTTTCAAGTAATACATTGCAACCGTAAACTCCATTGTAGATGATAAGTCTCATTTGTTTTTCGTAATTATATAACTCATTAACCAATTACAAGTTAGTGTACTTGGCTTTGGACCACACTATATGATAGCTAAAGACACTACTTGATCAACAAAGTAGTCGGGAAATAGATATTCATATATATTACTAACTTTTAAAACTAATTGACAAAAGATAATTTGTTCACAATGAAGAACTACTCCTAAAATGTCTACTTAATATTATAAATAAACAATCCTATATAGGCAAATATTAAGATAAACAATAAAATCAAAAAAAGTTTTCAGTCTAAACAGGACTAAAGGATTTAAATTATTTATGATAGTTGATGAATAAATAAACAAGGTACTTAAATTAAAGTATCAGATTGTTTTACATACAGTGAACAAACTGACATTTTCAAGGTTGTTGTTGTTGTTGTTTAATTTTTAGTGTTTACATTTTCATTTGTGATTGTCAATATAATCAAACATTTATTCATAATTGAAAGAATAATAATGCTTTCACGATATTTATGATTTTACAAGAAATCTGATTATTTTGACTGTAAAGGAAGCATTTTATTTTTCGTGGTGAAACACGCCTATAATTCCTATTTAGAATTTCTAATTACATTGAAATGGTCGATGAGGAAACACTTCTAAAAAATTATTTAAACAGAATTAGGACTCCGTTTTTTTTTCTGGAACATTGGTACTATTTACAGATTGGATATTAATCATCAAACAGATTTAAGGGCAAAATATATGTTCGTCTTATAATGTCAAATGCCCAACATAAGGTCATACAAAATTAGATCTTTCTGACTTGACCAATCGACGTAAGTGGTATCCAACCATTTAAGAAGCTTGACTTAGTTCTCTAGGACCGATCTAAATATGCTGTAGTGTCGGTTACCGTGTTAAGCCCATATAACTTATTCTAGCTTGTGGATAAGTCAATTAATTCATTCTTCTTGAGTCACGTTTTGACCTTGTCATTTGTTCACTTATCAACCCTGATTGATTTTATGTAAGCGTATGTATGTGCACTTATCCTATTCATCATATATCTGTAACCTACTTTTATCTGGCTATAGATACTGATTAACTCTTGATTAAATCGAGTTGGCTTACACACTTTCTCCACTGAAAGTCCTTTCGTCTCGCTCCGCTTTCTCTTCTTCGCTTTATTCGCTGCGATTCTCTGATTGTCTGTTCCGTTTTTAAACATCCATTCTCGTATTTGACTCATTTAATTCTGTTATTCACCAACGCGAGTTAAGTCGATAATTTTATATGAGGATTAGCGATATGTATACTTTGACACCAGTCATTCATACAATCTAATTGGAGTCAGATCCCGGACAACTAAAATACAAGTTTACCTGAAATGGTTAATGTGCATTGGCAGTCAGAGCAAGTTTACTCTTGGAAATTTATGTCCAACTGTTTAATAATTTTCTAGATACAGGTTTAATTTCTAAATAGTTGTCACCCATTTCTTTTAAGAAACTATCCTAAAATAACATGAGAGGGCATTTTCGATTTTTCTATTGTAATTTTTCATTAGCTATACGTTACGGTTTGTAAATCGAAGAAGTGGCTAACTTTTTGCATTATTTTTCTAACGAATCATTTGAATGTGACTTTACAATGTAATTTGAAGCGAATAAAATACGATCGATGATCATTGTTAACTAATTAATTTGGCGCAATCTGTTCCTATAAAATTTGAATATGCTCTTCAGAAGGAAAAAGCTTCATATTATGATCTGTAAGCCGATAGACAGATAGTTTTATACCTCATAGTTGTGTGTTTAAAAATTAGTACGTGAATCTGAATCGGGTTAGTGACTTAAATTCACCCTTCTTTTATTTATTACATTCTGGGACTCATTTATACTGAAAAATGTTATAAGAATTATATCAGATGTTGTTTATGTATATATATTACTTCATAGAAGTGAGAGTAACCTCTTTAACCGAAAGAATCCTATCTAATCGTATTTTTCTTAACTGAATTGCTTCTTTCATTATTATTTTATTAGTATTACTTCCCCGACCGTAGCTGCTACCTTGACGCGGTGGTCGGGCTTGCCTATCGTGATGACCCAACCCAGCTATATTGGTTGGAAAATATGTTCCTGTAGGTTCTACCATGCCAAGCAGGTTGATTGGAGAACGGTAAGACTAAAAGCAGCAACTCAAGGTCTGAGGGTGAAGTCGTACTGCTGACTGGCAGCAGTAAGGTGTTTCCCTCGGACAACCAGCATCTGCAGCGATGCTGCCTTCTCAGAAGGAAGGAAGGGGTTGGAAAATGTCGACCTTAAAAATGTCACACCTCACCTTACCTCACGGATTTCCGTCTCCGGCGGTAAGGCCCTTTGAAGAACGTAGCTAACACACTAAAAACCTTCCACGAAAAGGCCATGCGCGACCGGCCTCAAGCAATTGTCCCTTGGGCTCTGCGGTCATGCTCCCAGGTCGTTAAGACCAGTACTAATCCGACTTCTTCTTCAGGTTCCTCAAGAAATACCCTTCCACAGTGTGGGCAGCCGGGAAGTGACATCAGCCCTCATACCCGTAACAGCACACGAGACCAAGTTGGTCACATTCAAATCCTTCCTACACCTTCTAATACCTCTCTTATCTCCACGACTAATCCTTCTCACATCCCTTTATCACCTCGCACCGCTAGGGCGAACGATTCGGGTACGCGAAACGCTATTCTTGGTCTCCTGAAACTACGCTCCAAACTACACGTAGGAGCTTTTAACGTCCGAACACTGTGTCAAATAGGACAGCAGGCTTTCTTAGCTGGGGCTTTAGAATCCCGAGCCATCGATGTGTACTGCGTCTCCGAAACGCGCATACAGGATCCAAGTAGCGTCATTCACTTGACCTCACCATGCCAAAATAAAGAACCGACTCAATTCACACTTCGTGTATCTGGAAGCCCTGATTCTGCTTCCCGTGGCCTCGCCGGCGTAGGCATAGCATTGAGACCTAGGGCAGAACTAGGTCTCCTAGAGTGGATCCCAATAGACAGCCGTTTGTGCGCTGTCCGACTAAACGAAACAATAAGGATCCGAAAAGATAGGGACACTCGTCGTCGCCTCTTCGTCGTCTCTGCCTATTCTCCCACTGACTGCAGCTCAGATGATGTAAAAGATGAATTTTACAGAAAGCTTTCCGACCTCCGAAAAGCTAAGCGCTTTGATGTAATAATGGTGGCTGGTGACTTTAATGTTCAAGTAGGTAAACGAAACGAAAGCGAAAGACACCTGGGTGGATCTTATAGTGTTGTGGCTCCAACAACAGATAATGGTGACCGTCTGTTGCAGCTGATAGATGCTCGGAAACTCATCCCATCTGGATCTGAACATAACGAAGGGCGGAGTCAGCTTGAGCGCAAGCTGACAAGAAGCCTACGCAATGATCGTGAGCAGTGGTGGTTAACGAATGCAAGAGAGATGGAAAAGGCAGCGGCAATAGGTAATAGCAGACGATTGTTCAGTTTAAATTACATCATACATAAATGATTGGTTTTAATTCATATTTTCTTTATTACTATTATTCTATTTTCATGAGTTCTAATCACTATTTCAATGTTCCAGAACTTTCCCTCTCTAACTTTATTTATTTATTCGTATCAAACATTTTATGAGCTCATTAACTCTATATGAATATTTT